TGGGCACCAGCACGTTTGGAGAGTTTTGTTGTTGCCCTTTTTCCCTGTGCCAAACCTTAGGATCAGAGATGTTGAGACTCAGTTGGATGGATTAAATGTGATGGGTTTAATTAGGCCCTGAAGTAGCAAGGACCAGGTGGCAGTACTGAGTCTCTAAGGGAAGGTAATTGTAGTTGTCACGATAGGCAGCATAGACGGAGCTTTGTCCAGAATGGCCTAGCCTGTAATGGTCAGCACAGGAAAAGGGAGTTCTATGGTGGCATGACTCACACTGACCTTCGGTACTGCCTAGTCAGTCATCGTGTTTCCAGACATGAAATAGATAAGAAGCCTACCACATTTCTGTTTGATCTGTAGAAACAGAAAAAATTCTCAAACAAATGAAAGACAGGCTACATTGAATCATGGTAAAAGGGAATCTTGGCCTGAAAATATGAGAGTTACTGTTGGCCTTTCTCCAATTCTTCCCCAGAGGGACCAGAGATCTTTCACAAGAGTAACTGTAGCCTGGGGGAAAGGACACAATCCCACTTTCCGGGGTCTGTTGGACACTGGTTTCTGGGCTGATGACAGTGATTCTGGGAGACCCCAAGAAACACTGTGGTCTTCCAGTTAAAGTAGGGTTTTGTGAAGGCCAGGTGATTGATTAATGGAGTTTGGCTAGAGTGTGACTCACAGAAAGTCCAATGGGTCCCGGAACCCATCCTGTGGCTATTAACCCAGTCCCAGAATGTCTAATTGGGATAGATATACTTACAAGTTGGCAGAATTCTCACATTGGTTCCCTGGCTTTTGGAGTGAGGGAACTATTATGGTTGGAAAGGCTTAGTGGAAGCCTTTAGAGTTTCCTATGCCAGGGAATAGTGAATCAAAAACAGTAACACATCCCTGAAGGAATTGCAGAGATTAGAACTACCATCAAGGACTTGAAAGATGCAGGGGTGGTAGTTTCTACCACATCTCTCTTTAACTCTCCTATCTGACCAGTATAGAGGACAGAAGGATCATGGAGAATGACAACTGACTGTCAAAAACTCGGTTAGGTAGTGAATCTGATTGCAGCTTCTGTACCAGATGTGGTGTCCTTACTTGAGCAGATTAACACATCTCTTGGTATATGGTATGCAGCTATTGATTTAGTAAATGCCCTTTTCTTGCTACCTGTCCACAAGGACCACCGAAGTAATTTTCTTTCAGTTGGCAAGACCAGCAGTATACATTTACAGTTTTACCTCGAGGATAGATTAACTCTCCTGCCCTGTGTCATAACTTAGAACAGATCTTCTGGTACACTATATTAACATTATGCTGATTTGACCAAGTGAGCAGGAGGCAGGGCCTACTTCCAACCCATTGGAATATGCACATCAGAGAATGGGAAATACATCCAACCAAAATTCAAGGGCTTCTGCCTCAGTAAAGTCCAGTAGTGTGTGTTATTCAGAGATATTCCTTCTAAGATGAAGGATAAATCATTACACTTGGCCCCTCCTACCACCAAGAAAGAAGCACAATGTTTAATGGGTCTATTTGGATTCTGGAGACAACAAATTCTTCACTTGGGTGTGTTATTCCAGCCCATATACCAAGTGACTCAGAAAGCTGATAGCTTTGGGATCTGGAACAGGAGAAGACTCTTTCTCACAGGTCCAGACTACTGTGCAGGCTACTCTACCACTTGGACCATATGATCAAGACTTGATGGCCTTTTAGGCATCAGTGACAGGTAGGGATGCTGTTTGGAGCCTTTGGCAGGCCCCTATAGGTGAATCACAGAAGACAGCACTGGGATTTTGGAGCAAGGCTCTACCATCATCTGTAGACAACTATTTTCCCTTTGAAAGACAGCTCTTGGCCTGCTATTGGGCCTCATGGGGTTCCCCTAGGGTCTGTTTTACTGATGGTTCTGCACATTATACAGGTACCACCCAGAAGTGGACAGCTATAGCAATATAACCCCTTGCTGGGAAAACCCTGAAAGATACCAGTTAAGGGAAATCACAGTGGGCAGAGCTTCAGGCAGTACAGATGATCATATATTTTGTTTGGAATGGCCAGATGTACAAAAGTACACTGATTCATGGATGGTAACAATGACTTGGCTAGGTGGTCAGGGACTTTGAAACAGCATGATTGGAAAATTGGTGAGAAAGACATATCGGGAAGAAGTATGTGGCTAGATCTCTCCAAATGGTCAAAGAATGTTAAGATAATTGTGTCCCATGTAAATATTCATCAAAAGGTGACTTCAGCTGAGGAAGAATTCAATAATCAAGTAGATGGGATGACCTATTCTGTTGGCAGTCAGCCTCTCTCCTCAGTCATTCCTGTGAAAGCTCAATGGCCCGTGATCAAAGCGACCATGGTGGCAGAAATGGGGGCTATGCATGGACTCAACCACATGGGCTTGCACTGACCACAGATGATCTGGCTATAGCTGCTGCTCAGTGCCAGATATGCCTACAGCAAGATCAGCATTGAGCCCCAGATATAGCATCATTCCCTGGGGTGACCAGCCAATGATCTGGTGGCAGGTTGACAACATTGGACCACTTCCCCAGTGGAAAGAATATTGCTTTGTCGTTACTGGAATAGATTCTTATTCTGGTTAGGGTTTTGCTTTTTCTGCACATAATGCTTCTGCCTAAACCACTATCCATGGACTTACAGAATGCCATATCCACCATCATGGTATACTACACAGTATTGCTTCTGACCAGGGAACTCACTTCACATCAAGAGAATGTGACAGTGGGCCCATGATCATGGCATCCACTGGTTTTACCATGTCCCTCACCATCCTGGAGCTCCTGGCCTGATAGAATGCTGGAATGGTCTTTTGAAGACACAGTTACAATATCAATTAGATGGCAGCAGCCTGGAGGACTAGGGCAGGGTTCTCCTGATAGCAGTATATGCTTTGAATTAGTGTCCATTATATTGTATGGTTTCTATCATAGCCAGGAATGAAGAGTCCAGGAATCATGTGGTGGAAAAGGGAATATTTCCACTCACTATCACCACCAATGACCCGCTAGAAACATGTTTGCTTCCTGTTGCTGAGACCTTACATTCTGTTGGCTTAGAAATTTTGGCTCCAGAGAAGGGAGCACTCCTGTCAGGAAACACAACGAAAATTCCTTTGAACTTGAAGTTCAGACATCCCCCTGGCCACTTTGAGTTTCTGATGTCGTTAAAGCAACAGGCTAGGAAAGGAATAACAGTATCAGGAACGGTGATTGATCCAAATTACCATGGGGAAATTGGATTACATGTGGGGTGCAGGAGACCCTGTGATTGAAGTCAATGGGAAACTACAACAGCATAATCCAGGCAGGATGACAAAAGGCATAGACCCTTCAGGAATGAAGGTGTGGGTTACTCCTCCAGGAATAAAAACAAGACCTGCTGATGTGCTTGCAGAGGATGGCAGAAATACAGAACGGGTAGTAGAGGAGGGTAGTTCTAAATATCTTCTAAGGCCGTGTGACCAGTTGCAGAATCAAGGATCGTAATTAACATGAATGTTTCTGTCATATTTTGTTAAGAATGTGTTTGTACAGATGTTTGTGTTTTCTTTCCTTGATTTATCACGTAATGTAACATCAATTAAAGGAATATCAGTGGTTATATTTAAGTTTTAGATATTAAAAAATGTCTCCTAAGGGACATTGCCACCTATTCTAAAATTTATAATGCATTTTCAATTGAACAAGGCATAGTTATATCACGTTAGGCATAATTACGACCTAGTTAAATGTATAATGTGGTTGCAATTGCACGTGGGGTAGTTATATCATGTTAGGCATAATTACGACCTGGTTATTGTTTTCATTTGGAAAGGAGATAACACAAGGAGATATGATTACCTGTCAATTGACAGGAGGTGGACTTGTGATGTCTATTCTTGGTTGCCAACTTGACTACATCTGGAATTAAGCAGCTGGCTACTCCTTGAGGGAATTTTTTTCTTAATTAAATTATTCAGAGTGGGAAGACCCACTTTTAATCCGGATCTTTTGAGGTGGGAAGATCCTGGGCCCCATGTTCTGCTGGAAGCCGGCATAAAAGACATGGAAGAAGGCACGTTGGAGAAGGCACAGTTCTCTCTCTCTCTCTCTCTCTCTCTCTCTCTCTCTGCCTGTTTGCTCTCGCCATTCCTTGACTGGCATTAGACCCTACTTCTTCAGGATTCTGGCATATACTGAAGACCAGTGGAGACATCCAGTCCATGGACTGAACTACTGTATTCTTGGACCTTGCCTTGGTAGACAGCCATTGTTGGAGATATTTATATAAATATATATATATATATGTGTGTGTGTGTGTGTGTGTGTGTGTGTGTGTGTGTATTCACTCTCTCAGTTCTGTTCCTCTAGGAATCCTGACTAATACACCCCTCAAGCCTGGCTTGCTGACTGTCCCTCTGTGTGAACCTCTTTAGTCATTCTCCATCAATGAAGGTCAAGGCCCTCCCCCCACCTCCATCAGTCACCCCACACCTTTCCCCATCACCATAGCTGCTCAGTTCTTCTTAGTCAGCCCTTTCTGCCATGCCCAGCTGTCTACCTGGGCAGGTGGTGTGTTTGCTCTCTCAAGATTCCCCACCTCAGCAGGATGATGAGGCCTGGGACGGTTTGCCAAGCTCCAAGGGTAACCCTGCTGCTAGTCCAAGGGCACACCCCACCCCAGGTCTTCCTACACTGTTCTTCTCTAAGTGCCTTCTGTGGTGCTGATGCCCTAGTTTTACTCAGGAGCCATCTATGATTCTCTGCCATTCAGTACCGGTCACGCTAGTTCATGTTTGCTGTGTCCTCACTGAGTGCTGGGCATGATGGGAGGAGCTTTCCATGTCTTCACTGAGATCTCTGAGGACAGTGCCAGGGACATGGGCACCCCACTTTCACAGAAGAGGAAACAAAGGCACAGGGAGGTGATGAGAGGATGTTGCAGGGTCAGTGGCGGAGCTGGCGGTGACTATGACGTCACAGACAGGTGAGCCTGTACCTTGATTGGGCTGCCTGCTCTTCTTACAGAAGGGCAAAACCGTGGGGCTTACAGGACTTTACCTCAAGGCACACCAGGAGAACCCACCGGTTTTAGAGCAGAATGCTCAGTTTGTAAAAAGGCTGTCCACAAACTTCCTTTGTCTGTGGTTCTGGGAACTTTAGGTCTGATGGAACCAGAGGCAAGTGAGTCAGGTAACTGGGCATAGAGACTGTGAGATCCAGGGCTGCACCCCAGAGAGACAGCTACAGCCAGGGACAAGAGACAGGGGCGAGGTGGTGGGGGGGCAGGGCTCATGCTCAGCCCAAGGTCAGGGACTCTGGGGGCCCAGGGTTGGTTGACATTTAAGTCTATCACTGAGGCTTTGGCATTTGGAAAAACCATGCATGAATTTTACGTGCCCATTATCATCCTCCCATCACTTGGGGCTGTCATTCTGGTGGAGATTGAGGAAGCCATTCCTGAAACAACAGCCCAAGTGCTTTCTGGGATGCTCCACTCGCAGTTCACTCCTCCATGGGCCATGGGTGCGGGAACTGGGCTCCATCTTAGCTGGTCACGGCGAGTGTTCAGTCTCTCCTGCCTGGGCTCGGCTCTCTCTCTCACTTTCTCTGCATCATCTCCCTGTGTCTCAGCTTTTTATCTCTTCCTGTTACTGTGATAAAATACGCTGACAAAAGCAATTTAAGGGGAAGAGAGTTTATTTCAGCTTAAAATTCAAAGTTACAGACTATCATAGTGGAAGATGTCCCAGGGGCAGGAGCTTGGGGCTGCTAGTTATGTATGCCACTCAACTCTCCTTTCCATCTGGCTGGCCCCTCCTACCTCTGGCACTGTCTGTCCATCTATCGCTGTAGCTCTGTCCCATGCCTCAGTTCTCTTGGCACTTTCCCCGATGCTGACTGGTTTGTACTTCCTGTCCCCTGGGACCTTTCTCCCCTCCTCTTCAGGAGGTAGCCTTCTCCCCAACTCCTCAGATGTTCAAGAATCCAGCTCTCTCCATACATAGCTGACCGCAGGGCAGCCGGACCCATGACACGCTAACAGTCCTTGGTGACTGCTATCCTTTCTTTCCCTCTTAGCCTCTCCCACATGCCCCCTGGCCCCTGCCCAGCCTAGCCCTCATTTTCCCCCTCGCTCTTTTCTCAGCCTTCACCCTACCCACCTTCCCCTTTGGGTTCCACCAGCAGGCCAGGGTTCTGGAAGGAGGTGTTGCTGGCACCGGCTTACACATCTTGGTGTGAGCGGAATTTGTGCAAGCCCAAGTATGAGCTTTGTCATTTCCCACAGCACAGCCAAATCCCAAGGACCCTGGTTTTTGGTTCCTCCATGCTATGTATACATAGACTCTTAATATAAAAACCCACAGTTTTTTCTGGATCACAAGGTGTCCGGTATGACTGTCTTGTGGGGTCCTTGGAGCCTTGTTCACTGCTCTATGTCTCCCACAGACACGGTGACTCAGAGCGGAGTTTGTGGCCAGGGTCACAGTCACCTTCAGAAGACCAGTAAAAGTCTTAAGTAGTATAGAATGAAGACAATGGTGCCTGATGGTGTATAGGGGCCTTGGGGTGATGGAGCAGGTGACTCAGACTCACAGTGGGCCTGTGGGTCCAGAGGTGGGTGTTCTGGTTTGAGGAGGATACAGTGGCCATGGTCTTTGCTTTTCTTCAAAACTCCCAGCAGACAGGCAGCCAGAAACTAAGTGCCAGGCTCCAGTCTGGAAGGGACAACAGAGGGACACAGGACATAAATGTCCCCAGATGTTGAGTGTGGACAGCTGGCCTGGAAGCATGGCCACTAAGTGACTGTGGCAGCTGCACTTACTCGTGACACTTCCTCATGAGCCCAACTCAGAGATGAGCAGAGAAGAAAGCGTGCTACCCTTCTCATTTGTGACTTTAGAGACGGGCCTCTCAGGGCCCTGCAGACATCTCTGTAGCTGACAGACACATTAGAAATCCTCCAAAGATCATGGGGGATCTATGGTGACAGTCGCCCTGCGGCAGGTAAGCAGCAGGGGAACTGTGGCTGGTGAAGGGGGACCTGGTGTGACAGCAGCTACAAATCCAGCTGAACGCTCCATGCAGCAAAGCGGTGGCCTCAGGGATGCAGGCACAGAAAACAGGAGTCTGAGATCTTCTCCCACCTGCCCATGTGGGTGACAGCTGAGGGACCTGGACAAACGTGAGACCACATCATGGAGGGGTAGGTAGGGTTGACTTCAGTTGTCCCTCTTGTCCTTCAAGTCTGCCCCACCCCACCCCACCCCACCCCACCCCATCCCATCCAGGACAGTCTTCCTGTGGGCTTGCCGTCCTCACTCTGCTACCCCCAGTTTATGACACACAAAGTATGGAGTGCAGCCCATCTAGCGGAACCATCATTTTGAAGGATGGGGCTCTTAATGGCAGAACCCACCCAGTCTGGCTGGTTTCTCTGACCCAGCTCAAGCCCTGGCTGGGGGAGGCTTAGGGTTTGTGGGATGGATGGATGGATGGATGGATGGATGGATGGATGGATGGATGGATGGGTGGATGGATGGGTGGATGGATAGATGGATGGATGGATGGATGGATGGATGGATGGATGGGTGGATGGGTGGGTGGATGGATGGGTGGATGGATAGATGGATGGATGGATGGATGGATGGATGGATGGATGGATGGATGGGTGGATGGGTGGATGGGTGGATGGATGGGTGGGTGGATGGGTGGATGGATGGATGGATGGATGGATGGGTGGGTGGATGGGTGGATGGATGGATGGATGGATGGGTGGATGGATGGATGGGTGGATGGGTGGATGGGTGGATGGATGGATGAAGGCACCCATGAGAGACTGAATGCACAGGGACCACCTCTCTGCTGGGTTGGGCCTTTCCTTCCCCATCCCCACCCCAAACAGCACCTTTCCAGTCCTTGTGCAAAGCCAAAGCAGATGGCTACTTCTGTTGCAGCCCTGGAGCCTCCCAGCTGAGCCCTCCCGAGTCCTCCACTGCTTGCCATGGTTCATCTACTGACTACTGAGCTATTGATGCACTTCAGGGGTCAGTGGAGCCCAGCAACCCTGCTGCTAACAGGGCGAAGCAAGCCCAATTTCATGCCTACGTGGGCTTCCCTCTAAGAAGGCAAGGAGAGAGAGTAAACCTGCGCATTAAAATTTCTTTGGAAAACAGAAACCTCTGGAAGTAGGGGCCTTAAACAGAATTGCTGGGTAGCAGCAGAGGGGGCAGCTGGTTCACATGAGATGAATCAGAGCTTCGAGGAAGAAGGAAGTTGGTGAAGGAGGCTGATGGTACCGTGTGGTGGTTGCCTGTTTATCTCTCTTGGGATGTTTGCACACAGATGAATGTCTGAGAGAACCACCAACCTCACTACTGTTGTTGACTGACTGGACAAACTTGGAAAGGCAAATATTTACTGCGTTGGCCATTTGTTTCTGATGTATTTCAAACAGCAATCAGTGGGCGGAGGAATTTGAGCTTAAATGAAGGTAAGAAAAGCACATGGGAAAACCAAGACACAGGAATATCAAGTTCAAAGGCTGACATTGGGGGAGCTGCAGAGACAGCTTAGCATTAGCTGAGCCTCTTGCAGAGGACCTGGGTTCAGTTCCCAGCAACCACAGGACAGCTCACCAAGATGTGCAACTCTGGTTCCAGGGGATCTGGTGCCTTCTTCTGGCCTCCTTGGGCACCAGACACGCATGTGCCGCACAGATGTACATGCAGGCAGACTGCCCATACACATAAAAATAAATACATCTCAATGAATAAGTAAAGGCTGATTGCTGAGTTGAGAAAGTGGCTTAGTGGATGAAAGTGTTTGCCATGCAAGCGTGAAGACCTGAGTTTGAAAGCCCTGAGCTCATTAAAAGCTGCGGTGAATGTTTGCAGTTTCCACTTTTCTAGGCATATGGAACAGGAGAAATTCCTGAAGTTCTGGGCCAGCTAGTGGGTGTGCAAAGCAGGAAAACAAGAAAAAAGGCCTTGCTTTCAACAAGGTAGTATGCAAGGACCCACATCCAAAGTTCTTTCTTGCCTACACACACATGCACATTTGTGGAAAGTAAAATACAATGACCAATTGTCTTTCCTGAGATAGGGTTCCTGTAGCCTAGGCCAACCTCAAAATTACTATGCAAATGAGGATAGTCTTGAACTCTCGGTCCTCCAGAGCCTATCTCCTTAGTGCTGGGATATGGGCTAACACCAGCATGCATGCCTAACATAAACTTCAAGTCAGAACTGAGAGCTGAAGTAGCCTGCACACTCTCTCTCACCCCACTCCCGACTCTATGTCCATGTGACTTCTCAGCTCCCATCAAAGGGAGCTCTAGTTTTCTTTTGAATACAATGGAAGCAATGGTGTGTCAGTTTCCCTGGGTCCTCACAAGACCTGTGCACTTCAGTTCCCTTGTTCCCGCAACCCTCACCAAGCTGACCTAATGGAACCTGAGAGATCACAAAGCACGGGGTTAAGTCATCGCAGCCAAAGCCACCAGGGGCCAGCTGGCCTCCAGGTACTCCCATCTCTTAGGGTGCAAAGGCAGATCCAGCTCAGAGCCACGAGACCTGGTTCAGATCATCAGTAAGTCCTGCTCAGGCGCCGGGGACAGGGCATGGGCATCTTTGGGTGTCGTGATTCTGCCTGGGACGGTGGCCTTGGAGCTATTATCTTCCCCCTCGGATGCTCCAGAGAGCGAGAGTGTTAGTGAGTAGCTAGGGCTGGGGGACGGTTACTCAACAGCCTTGGGCGGTCCATGAGCTCTGGATGGCTCTTCTGGGTGTTCAGAGACTCAGGCTCACTGCAGCATACCCATCCCATTCCGTTTCATCCCACCCTGTCCCTTCTGATATGCCCCATCTTCCATCGTCTTCTTGGGGCCTCTCAGGGTTTGGGGGCAGGGCTCAAGCTCATCCTTCTCCTGGCCATGTAACATGCTTTGGCTCCACCAGTGTCCACAGACATGACCCAGGCCGTCTCAAGTTCTGATGATTCCCCGTGCTCCACTTAGGATGGTCTTTGTCTCTCTTAGGCCCGCATACACAAGGCCTGGTTCTGAGACGGCCCTACTGGAAGGTGGTGGGACCATCAACAGGTGCATTGTGTCCTCAGAGGGGATGTGGGCCATGTCCTTCCTCTCCGTCTATGAAGCCCCATAGCCTCTTGCCATGATGTATGTCCTCCCGAGAGACCCAAAGCAATGTATCCTCAGAAGTGAGAGCCCAAAGAAACCTTTCCTCTTGATAAGTAAATTATCTCAGCTGTTTTGTTACAGTGACAGGAAGCTGACTGATACACACCGAAAGAGGATCAGATGCCAGGTAGCTACTGCCCTATTGGCTCCAGTGCCAGGATAAACACACATGGAATTCGCAAGTCAGTAGAGGAGACTAGAGGGAAGCCTAGAGTGTAGCCTGTAGCAGAGGGTGCAGGAGGTGTGGAGGGTCTGCTATCTGAAGCTAAGCCGTCTGGTGAGCCTGGATGAGATGATCCGGGCCACTGCTATGTATAAATAAGCACTCATGCCTGCTGTTGCCTGTCACCACAATTTGGGTCGACTTGTTAGGCAGCACTATTACGGCTATAGCTGACTGTTACATTTCCCGTGAGGGATCATGGCCATTTCCCACACCTGGCTGTTTTCAGAACTCAATGAGACAGGAGCTGCATGTCCACCCATCCTCACAGGAGTGCAGGCTCCCAGTTTCCTTTGCCATCCTACCCCTACGCCTGTCCCAAGACTGGATGCCAGCAGGTACCCAGTAGCTGCTACTACACTAAGGGGAAACAAAGAGCCGCACACTGAGGTTGGGGAAAATTGGTCTGTTTGTTTTAATTAAACCCAGTGAAGAAGCCAAGACATTGGGCAAAGACTAAGAACGAGACTGGAAATAGTTTAGAAAAGAAATGAAAATCGATCGCAGAGATGCCGGGCCGCTGGAGCATCGGGAAGAGGTGGCGTCTTCACGTGAGCTCCAGGACCACTGTCAGGGCAAGCACCAGGGTGAGCCAGACACCAGCGAGGCCAGAAGCCGAACCTGTGGGAGGGCAGAGGTGGTGTCATGGCTGCAGCCTGCCTGTGTGTCACGGTGGGTCTATCGGTGTGAAACTAACTGCGGGGTTTCAGCAAAGGCTGAAAAATGGTTCCCAACGAAGATGCTAGGGGGCAGCATCCGGTGAGTGGGTTTGAACCTCAGCTCTGATGACTTCCTACCGTGGGTCCAGCTTCCTGCCATGGGTCCAGTGCCCTGTCCCCGTGCAGGCCTGCTGGGCTAAGGCACCAGATTTGCTGTGTATGGTAGTGTCTGCATCCCATGGGTGGTTCTGGGTTGGGGTGGCTGAGGGAGCATCTGTCTGTGTTCTTAAGTGTCCCATGGAGTTGTCAGAGACACACACCATGGTCAATGCCTTACACGGCTTCTTGGGGTCTGGGTAGCAATGAGGAGGCACACTTGACCCTTGACACCCATTGGCTGTTTGTGGGGTATAGCACCTTCCTTGCTTAGGGCCTGTCTTGGCCTAGCCTTGACTCTGCCTGTCTGAGGTGACGGCTTCCTGGAGGAAGGGACGGATCAGGGCAGACAAATAGTGCTTTAGCAATAAATGCTTTCTGGGGGCTTGAAAAGCACTTGCTGTTAAGGGTGCAGTCTTGAGGGTGGAGACTTACCATGGGCGTCCTCTGTTCCTCTTGGGATATTTGGGTTTTCTGCCAGAAAGAAAACAGAGAAGCAGAGTGGTGGCGCTGAGTTCCGAACACGGAGGACCTTCCCCAGGCATCTGCTATGCGGTATTGTATGTCCTGGGATGGTGCCCCTCAGTCTCTCTATATCTGACCATGTTACAGAGGGGAAACTGAGGCCTGCTGAGTGTCCGAGCTGAGATGAACCCAGAGTCTCTCTGATGCTAAAGCCATTGTAATTATACTCAGTGAATGGAATTAGGCCTCTGAGGCAAATTTAAGGGGCTTTTGTGGACAGTTTTGAGCCAGGGCCTATTCTTGGGGGGTCCCTACCAAACACGATGAGCCGAGTGTGTGTATCGGTGGAGCCCAGCGGGTTCTGGGCAGTGCAGCGATACATGGAGCCGTTGAGCTCTGCAGGCACCCGCTCCAGCACCAGCTCCTTCCCGTCAAACTCAGCGCTGCCATCCAGGAGGCGGCTGCCCACTCTCGTCCACGTGAACATGGGCTCTGGGAAGACCTCATTCTGTGGACCGGAGAAGGGAATAGTGGAGTCACAGGGGAACATGCTGCCAACACAGGAAGGTCAGAGCCTTTCCAGACCCCCAATTCTCATCTAATAGGCTTCAGGTGGCCCCTTAGAGCCCCGGGAAGGGGGCTGCAGCTCAGTTGGTAGCATGCTTGCCTAGCACTCACAAAGCCGTGCGTTTGAGCCCCAGCACCACATAAACTGTGTTGGTATCAAGGAGGGAGAGGGAGGGGAGTCAGAAGTTCAAGGTCATCCTCAGATAAATGGGGAATCTGAAAACAGCCTGGATAACAGGTTGACTAACTAGGTGGAGAGGACTCAGGGTTTGGGGCTGGAATCAACACAAAGACAGAAGGTTGATACAAATTGCATTTGCTTGTGGGTAGGGGGTATAGGAGAGTGAGCCAGTGATGCTGGTTCCCATTGGGTGTGTCTACCCACTCACTGCTCCACTTAGGTATCAGAGAGAGAGACTGACCTGAAATCCGTGGACTAGGATCCTCACCGTGTCCCCAACCCGGGCTCTGCTGGGTGTCATCACAATTTTGGGCCCTTTGGGAGCAACTGTATCAAGAGAAAGATACGTTCAGAGAGGGGTGGTGGGTGGGTGGGTGTGGTCAGCATGGAGAGTGGGGCGGGGTGGGAAGCAGAGCAAGTTCCCGAGGTTGGTGTCCTAGACACTGGATGCTTCTCAGGAGCGCCCAGGAGGCTCATTCATTCCCTCAGTCCTGGCTGCCTCCTCCATATTCCTTACAGCCTTGTGTGTCCCATTCCAGCTGGGATCTGGGGATTCAACAACACACACACACACACACACAGACACACACACACGATGGGTCTCATGTCAGTGGGGGAGAAAGAAATCAACAGCATCATTGTCCCCTCTGTTCCAGTGGAGTTCACGAAGGCCTGGTGATCTGTCGTGTCACACACTGAGGAAGAATCAGGAACAATATTCAGGTCTCCAGGCTTCTGATCCAGGACCCTACTGCCAGGGGGGCGTGGGGGCTTTCCTGAAATCTCTCTGTGGGGGTGTGGATGGTGTGAAGCCACCACCTCATTTCTTCGCCAGCCTTCGTTCTCACTGCCTCTGGTCCTCTCGTGCTCAGCCCAGTCTCCCCCAGGGACTTTTTGTATGTGCTGAGGGGACACGATGCCCTGGGTGCCCCTCGCCCGGGGCAGGTCAACCGGCTCCCTGTGCCTCTTCTTTTCAGAGAGGAAAATTGGGCCCATGCATAATAAAGATGCTTGTCCAAGGTTCCTGCAGAGTCAATTACACATGTTTCCTGACTCCCCGCCCTCATTAATTCATTTGTTCTCTCATTCAATAGTAATTACTGAGCTGGCCATATGTCAGGCTTTGGAGCAGGACTAGGGACTAGTAAAGGGGACAGTGATAAAAGTCAAGTGTCTGCAACTTATCCGTTAGCCAGGGACACATTTAGTTTGCAAACTCAGCCAAACTGTGACCAGTGTTGTGTGCAGAGACTGAGCCCAGCACAGGTGGCACACAGCTCGGTGGGCGGGTGGGTGGGGTGCAGTGGTCCTAGTATCCCAGACAAGTGAGGCATTCAAGAAATATTCCAGACAGAGGGAGAATAGAGGACATGGTTCTGGGGTCAACCAGAGAGCTGGTGGGGCTGGGGACAGACTCCACAGAATTTCCAGGGCTGTCCCCACTTAACTCACAATGGAAATTAGAGCAGCGGGCAGATGTGAGCAGGCCCCAGGCTCTGCCAGTCTCACTCTCTGAGAATAAGGCCGAGGCACTACTAATTAACCATGAGGAAGACGGCAGAGGGAAGGGCGCAGCCTGCTGAGAGGGGAGGGCAGAGCGGTGAGGGGAGGAGAGGGTGCTTCCCCCGCTGCTGCTGCTGCTGCGCCCAGCTGCCAGCTGCATGGAAGCAGCACTGGCCAGCCACACTGGAGACATTCTAGTCTATTCTGGCAGATGGAAGACTTGGGGGTGGAAAGGCTCTACCTCTGAGCCACCCCCACCCATCCCCTTGGTGGCTTATTTTTATCCAATATCTAAATGCTAGGTCCTTCATTCATATTTTGTCTCATTTCACCTTCCAGCCTTTAGAAACTGTCCCACAAGCTCAGGAAGGCACAGAGAGGTTAAGGGACATTCTTGCCTCTTCCAGTTTCTCTTGGGTGCTGTGGAAGAGTTAGGTTCCTAGAGGGAAAGTCCTAGAGGGTGGCATGGCCCTAGGTGGTCTGTGCCACTGCCAGCTTCAACCAGCAGAGGGTGCTGGAGAGCCTCCATTGCAGGAGAAGGCAGGGCCTGGAGGTCAGTGTTTCTGGAGCCACTCAGAGCCCAGGGCAGACAGGCAGCAGGTCACACAGCCTCTGGACTGCCCTTTCCTGTTTCTAGTGGCTCCTGTGTGAAGCTGACCCCGAGGGGCACAGAAGGTGTCTGGGGGGGGGTGTCTGTTACACTTTTGTCCCTCTGAGCTCTCCTGCACAAGGGTGCTTGCAGACATCTTGACTCTCCCTCCCTCAGGGTTGCTGGGAGTCCCTTGCTTCTGGAAGTCAGGCCAACTGCTTTCACACTCCTATCTCAACACCATCAGAAAGTCCATGTGCAGCTCCTGGCAAGCAAAGCCTGGCCCCTTGCCTGCCTGCTTTGAGAACACAACCCAGAGTGCCAAGTGGAGGTGTCCCCACAGTTTTGGTAGTCCCTCCTCTCACTGCTTGGTACAGAAAGCCTGAGAACTGAATGGGGACCCAGGATCTAGGCCTTGCCCTCCCAGGCTGTGGTGTGGAGTGTCAGCTCGGTCTGTCTGTTCACCGGCTCATCCCCTGCCTAAGAGCCGGTGTCTGAAAATGACAATGGGGAGAGGGGAGGGGCCACAGAGTGAAATCTTGGCTCAAGGGAATGCAGACACTCCCACCCCATCCCCACCCATGGGGTCTTGCTTGCTGTCTGTGAGAATGACACGTGTGGTCTCAAGGAAAGGGTCCTCTAGGACTCCCATGGAATTCTGGGTTCTCTTTAAGACAGTCACTTGTCCATCTACCCAACCATCCACCCCTCTATCCAGTCCACCATCCCGTCTACGCAACCATCCACCATCTACCCAACCATACATCATCTACCCAACCATCCATCCATCTACCTAACCATATATCATCTGTCCAGCCATCTACCGTCTACCTAACCATACAATATCTACCCAACCATCCATCCATCTACCTAACCATCCATAATCTGCCCAGCCATCTACCGTCTACCCAACCATTCACCCATCTATCCAGTCCACCATCCCATCTACCTAACCATCTACCGTCTACCTAACCATACAATATCTACCCAACCATCCATCCACCTAACCATCCATAATCTGCCCAGCCATCTACCATCTACCCAACCATCCACCCATCTATCCAGTCCACCATCCCATCTACCCAACCATCTACCGTCTACACAACCATCTACAGTCTACCCAACCATCCACCCATCCTTCTATCCACATTTCATCTATTTACTTTTCAATCCATCCATACACCATCTATTTATTCATCCATCCATCAAATCTACTGTTTTGGGCTTTATAAGATTATTTCTTTTTTGTTCCTAATTTTGTTTTGAGACAGGGCTTAAGTATCCCAGGCTGACCTCAAGCTACTATGTAACTAAACCTCTGATCCTCCTGCCCCCACCTCCTAAACGCTGGAAAGACAGGCAGGCACCACCATGCCTGGTTTAGGTTTTTGTTTTACGCATCCTGGGTACCAGTGCCTCACAGAGGACTGAGAGTATTTCCCTCATTCTACTACACTTTGCCTTTTCATCTCTTTGGGATGTCTCCTTATGAGCTGAAGATTTGAATTTTGATTCAGTCCCACGGAACAATTTTCAATTTTTTTCTCTAGCGGTTTTTTATTTTTTTTTATGACTGCTTTAAGGGATGTTGGCTACCTCGGCTCCATAAAGACATTTTTCTCCATTTTGTTCCAGAAGTTTTATGACGCTGGCTTTTACACCAGAGTCTATCAATCATCCTCAGGTTAACCTGTGTGCGCACCAGGCAGGGGCCAGGCCCGCCTCTCCCTTCCTCGTGTTCTCTTGTTCCAGGGCCCAGTGTTAGAGAACACATCTTTACTGTCCAAACAGCCTCAGGGTCTCCGTCAAAATCAATCGACTTTGCCTGCAGGTCTATTTCTGGACTCTCTTCTCTGCATCAGTCTTGCGTCTACACTGGAGGGTCTGGGCAGCTGTTTATCTGAGTTTCGAGCTGATTTATATTTTAACTAGATCAGCTGGGATGAAGAATAGAAAAAAAGCAAAAAAAGCAAAACAAAACAAAGAGAGAGACCAGTTTGGAGGCTGTGTTGCACTCCAGGGGTGGATCGCAGTGCTTGGATGGGTGGTTACAAGGAAAGAAAGAACAGGGCAGGCCTGGGAAGCGTTCTGAGGCCTCACAGCCTGGCGGGCGGTGACCTAGACACGAGGAGACCAGGGCAAAGTGAGTGGCCCTGAGGTTTCCAACTTGACGAACAGAAGGAAAGCATCGTCATTCCTGAGATGTTTTCAAGGCTGCTAAGCAGAGATTCACAAACCCAGAGGGACCAGGGAGACCCAAGCAGTTTCCTGGAGGAAGGGGTGTTGTTGGAAATTTGTGCCCCAATACTCCTTTGTTCACTCCATAGCCTTTCTCAGAGTGCGGGGGTGGGGGGGTTGGGGGGTGGGGGTAGTGGTGGTGATGGTGGTGGCTTGTCCTGCCAGACGACACTCTTGGCTCAGTGTGCCCTTGACCACACACCTCAGGTAGGTTACACTAAGGCAGTGACTAAGGAAGTGGACTCTGGGGGCAGAGAGCCCCAGCTAACTGACCTAAATCATATAAAACCCAGGTCCCTTATCTCAAAGATGGGAATAAGGACAGCGCCCACAGTGGCCACCCATGGTACTGCAGGGATTCAAGTTGGGCTCCTAGTGTGGGGTTAAACCATGTTTGTTGATCAGAAAACAGAGGCTCAGGACAGTCTATGTAGAAACAGACGCTAGCCCAGGCTCTCCCACTCACTCCCAGAGTCCTGGATATCCCTTGTGTCCCCATTTCTCCAGGGACATAGTGTGGCCATCCAGGCCCACTACTTGTGGTTGGCCTTTTCCTTACTCTGCGGGGGGGGGGGGGGGGGGAGGTATCCCCAGAGGACATGAGGTGAGGGGGCCCTGGGGCCAGGGACAGAGCAGGTGCAAAATGGGAAGGTCTGGCCGGGGGCAGCACACAAGTTGGCCTCTGAAGGCTTCAAAGCTCTTTATTATTCTTGTCTCTGCCTTGGTGGGCATGGGGTAGGGTGCAGTTTTCATGCATGGCCAAAGTCCCAGGAAAGATGGAGGGTCCAGAGAGGGCCAAGGGCTGGCAAAGCAGGAGGCTGAGGGAGGCCCCTGGGCAGGCTTAGCCCTCCAGGGACTGCTGATGTGTCTTTGAAGCAGATAAAGGTGTGGACGGCATCCGGGGTGCTGGAAGGAAACAAGGCCTGCCACTGAGTCCTCCCTATGAACCTGGAACAACTTAGCGAACCTCCCTGGGCCTCAGTTTGCACATCTGTGGTCTGAGACGACAGCCGGCCAGCTCCGCGGGGTTCCACGAACATTTGCTCTCTTAACAGAAGGGAAGCAACTTAGGGGCACACAGGCATCTAGGAGACAGCCCTTCTTAAGTCTTGCAGGAGCTGAAGGAGTCGGCATCCGCTTGGAAGGGTCTTCCAGACCGGACTCAAAGCCAGTCAAGGGCACCGTGGGGGTATAGAGGGTGCCAGCAGATGGGGATTAAGAGCCGAGCTCTGCTGTATACAACCTAGTAACTCAGGGCCAGAAGCCTCCGTTTTGCTTCTCTGTGAAATGAGACTCCATGTTGAGTTTCTGTCTGTGACCAGCAAATCCCCACTGCGTATTTATGCACCTGACCCTAACAGGCATCCCCTACTGACCTCCTGCAAACTTCCATTTTCTGCAGTCCAACAAACAACCTTCCCAAAGACCCCTGGCTCTCCCCTGGGATGACCTGACTCCATTTACTCCCCTCCCCCTGGCTTCCAGAAGCCCCGCCCCTCTTCCGGATTACAACCTCTTATCTCTGGTGCTAGGTCTTACCCAGCGTGACCTCCGCCTGCATGGGCATGGACAGCGCTGGGTGCTTGACCTCACAGCTGAAGAGGGCCTCGTTGTCGATCTGCGGGTTGAGGGTCCAGGTGAGCAGGGCCCGCACCTCCACCGTGCCATCGCTGCCTGGGGTGCGGCTGTGGCGCAGGAAGTAGACCGGCTCGGCGCTGTGTACCCAACGGGGGAACTCGCGGCTCACCACTGTCTCTGGGATGTTTTCCGTGGTGGGCTGCACGAAGAGGCTGGGGTCTTGGGTGAGGCTTCGTGAGGGGCGCTCCGTGTAGGGACGTCCAGCCCGGTATTCGGTATCCAGGAGGGACAGGGACTTTTGCATTTTAGTGTCGTCCACGTCCCGATGCAGAAGGCTGCGGAAGGGCCTGCTGTCCTGGAGGGGGCCAGAGCTGGCTGCGGCTGGCAGTTCTGACAGGGGCACTGCATCGATCAGCTCCCCATCCCGTTTGAAATAAACCTACAGTTGCAAGCAGGACAGGGGAAAGGATAACGGATGGATGGTTTCTTCCCTATGCCATTCCTTTCCCTGACTCCCATGGAGAGCTATGACATGGGGAGCATGACACGTGGGAAGACACACAGCTCTGGAGAGAGGCAGCTCAGCCCAATACCACTACTGGCGAGCTGGGGAGACTTTCAGCCTCAGTTTCCCCACTTGTAAAGAGAAATAAGACTATCGATTCCAGGGAACAACTGGGGGCTTAAATGAAGTCACATGGGCAGATTGGTTTTAGATTCGGCAAGGTCCATGGCTGCTCTGGGGGCATGTGGCTGGGGAGGGAATGCGCAGTGGGGGTAAAATGAGCTATGAGAAAAGGAAGAGAGATGTGTGTGTGTGTGTGTGTGTGAGAGAGAGAGAGAGAGAGAGAGAGAGAGAGAGAGAGAGAGAGAGAGAGAGAGGTAGGGGAGGGAGAGAGAGTGGGCTCTGTCTGCTCACACAGTTTGGCAATCTGGAGCTGCTATGCAGAAAGCAGGTGCGTGTGTGGGAGGGAGCTAGGTGTGGGGATGAGGAGAAGAAGCCCTCGTCTCCCTTTCTCTGCTAATAGGGAATTCGAGTTTTGAGAGGCGGCATTTAATTTAATTTGCTGTCTTCTTATTTTGGTACACACACCCAGAGGCCTTCGGGGATTGGGTGTATTTTTTAATAAATCAGATAAATAAATCGATAGGAGACAGAGAGAGGTAAGAGCAGGGACTCCAGAGACTCAGTGAGAAGAGAAGTCTGGGGGTGGGCAGGTGGGGGAGAGGCTGGGGAGTGGATAGGGTTGGGTGGGTGGGGGTGATATGTGGGTGTGGAGGATGTGTCAGGGTTTAAAACCTCACGGAAGAATTTTCTACACACAATGGTCTGCTTTGGGTGGGTGGGGGAGTTGGGGTTTTTTTTCTTCCCTTTCTTTGCTTTTCTTCTTCCTCTTTTTTTTTTTTTGAAAAGTGCTTCAAAAGCAGGTTTGTAATTTATATCAAAGAATTGCTTTCAAGTTCTGCTGCTCCAGACAGACGTAAGATGCCTGGAATGTGAGGGAATGAGGACCTTTCCCACAGACAGAGACGGGGAAGAGACAGAGAACAAGAGGGGAGGAGAGGCCAGGAAGAGCAGAGCGAGAGAGGGGGCATTCTTAAATAACTGTGTCTGAAGTGGCAGCCGGGCCGTGAGGTGGGAAAAAGTGTTCTCCTGCAGCCAGGAAACACTCCCCCATGTCTTCCTTTCCTAGAGGAAAGACCAGCTTCCCTGATTTGGCGGAAACTGGACATCCTTATGGGTTCTGAAGGGGAGTCTTGGGGAGACTCGTGAGCCACATCTTCAGCATTCAGTGGCTGTGAGGCCAACTTTATCATCTCCATGCCTGGGACTGCAGTGCGACCCTAAACCTGCCCACTGAGCCCTGATGGACATGCCTCCATGCCTCACTAGAGATCTCCTGACTCCATGCCTCTGCACCCCTGACCCCTGACCTCCATGTGTTACATTGCTGACCTCTGTGCCCTGTAGCCTCATCCCAGGCTCCCCTGTCTCCATACCCCTGATCCCTGCCCCATCTGCACACTCTCCACCAGGCATCTCTACACATAGCCACTCCCCTGCCCTGAGGTTGGCTCTGGGGGTCCCAGACTCTGAGAGGGGCTGACCAGATCCTCAGGTCTTCCCGCTGGTCAAACACGTGAGAAAGGTCACATTGGGAAGGAGGGGCCCGCTTACCTCTCCATCTGAGTTCTAACTGCAGGTCCTCATTGCTCCAGCCCTACCTATTCCCTATCCTGCTAAATTCAAGGAATGTGCGAAACTCACTGAGTTGAGGTCTGGAGTATTTTAAAATATCCACACTAGAATTTCCCCCAAACGTAACTCAATGACCCTGATATGGTGCATGGAAGTGCTCTCAGCGACCTTTGAGGGTTTCACGATGCCCCCTACCCATAGAAGTTGGCCACATGAGGTTTCATTGAGTAATGGTTGGGCCAAAAGAGCCCCAATGGTTTCTGAAACATTGATGGTGTCCGACTCCTTGGGTTTGTACTAAAACTAAGAAGGTGAGGGGGACCCCTGCTCAGGGTCAGTCCTTGGGATTGGTGTGACCAGAAGCAAGACTCGATCAGGTGACCATGGGTCTCCATGACTGAGAACCCAACTCTATTTTTCTTCCTGCCCCCTTCTCTCTCCCTTCCCCTTTCCTGTCTTTCTTTTGGGGGACTCTCTAAACCCCATGGAGGCTTGGGAGGAGCAGTGGGCTTCAAGTGTGAGAACATGAACTTGGGGCCCATCTCTATGGAAAATATCAGGGAGACTATGAAGAAGTCCCTTGCCATCTCTGGACCCCGTTCAATGTTCCTTATCCCCCTCAGAATCTAGGGTATTACAGGATTGGGCAGAGGGAATAAGAGATGTGCTGGGCAGACCATTCCTGTCTGGGCACAGAAGTGGTACCTGAAGAGGACTCAGGGAGCAGGAATCTTAGCAAACTGAGGACTGGGCCCCCAAGCACTTACCATGGGTGCTGGCTTCCCTCCGGACACGATGCAGACCAGCGTGAAGTTCTGGGCCTGATACCGGCTGAAGGGGGCAGGTGAGTCAGCAGCCACGACTTCGATAGAGGTGGGAGGAGCTTCCAAAGGGAAGAGGAGGAGACTATGACTCAGTTGGGGAACTCAGAAAGAGTTCTAAGGGCTACCTTAGGTATTGACTATGGCAAGCATGGTGTCCCTCGCTGGGGACGCAGAACAGAGCCCTGCTTCGTGGATCTTTTAGCCCAATGAAAGAAACACAGAGCACTCAAGAGGGCATGAAGATTGAAGTGGTAGGACGTATCCTAGAGACAGCATCCTAGCGCAGAAGGGGACCTTCCCCCAGTCAAGAGATTTTGAGGAGTCAGTGACAGAGAAGACACACTTTCCTGCGATCCAAGGAAGCAGCAGCTGACAGGAGGACAGAAACAGCACATACAAAGGACTGACGGTGGAACGGAGTGGAGGACCAGGTGAGCGTGCTCAGGTTGCCCCAACAGCCAGGGCCGTAAGTGGCAGCTGCTCCCTGTTTAGGCTGGAGTCAGCTCCAACCTGTGTAGGGGGCTATGACATTTTCAGGAATTTGTGAGCCAGCTGTTAAACTGTTACCAACTTGAAACAGGTCCCTGTGGGTGTCTTTACACCACAAAATCAGTAACTGCTGCAGATAAAGACCTCGGTCCCTCCCTCCTCTACTTCCAGCCTCAGAAAGCTGTGACCAGCTCACCCCAGACTAAGCACTCTTTCCTCTCTATCCTGAGATTAGTGGGGAGCCACTGAAAGTTTTAAATGAGAGCAGGGACACAGTAACAACTCCATTTTGAAGAAGCACAGCGTGGGTTTCGGCTGGACAGGACAGCGCAGACTCCATGGGCTTGGAATGAGCTAAGCAAGTCACTTAAAGTTGCCCCAAACTGGGGGCTTCTCTCTCCCTTCCTGGAGCCCGGCTTGGTGTGGTTAGCAGCCTCCTTCTCACCTTCTCCTTACCCACATCCTGGCTGGGTCATCACCATCCCCGTGTCTTGAGGACATTACCACACTGTGAGCCTCTGACCCCTGCTTTGTTAAGTGGGAATAATACTCAGTAGATGTGACCACGGGACTGAACTTGAGCTAGAGAAACTGCAGGGCTCCATGCTGGGAATTCAACCTTAAGATGATCTTTCGCTATGATTTCCCGACATCCTTGGCATCTGCAGGAGGCACCATCTTTGAAATCTGCTTGGGGCAGGCTGTCCATTCTTGCTTCCCTGGCCTTGGGCCTGTGAGTGACTGTTGGTGGGGCAGGGGTGGGGGCATACAAAAACCACCAGAAGATGCTGGAGACCTTGCCTTCCTGCAGGGGCTTTTCACCCCAGTTGAGTTTAATTAAGTTCAGCGAGCATTTCCTGACACCTGCCAGGTGTGGGGCGTGGTGCCAGGGGCCCGCTGCGGGCCTCCAGCGAGGAAGCGGATAAGTGCCGAGAAGTCTGTTGGCTGGTGGGGGTGGCAAGCATGGGGCTGCTCTGTTTTAGGGCGCAGTGAGATGGAGCCAGGTACGAGCCATCATTTCATTCAGGCAGCCACACATGCTGGGGGCGAGAGAAGGGAAGCGAGCGGGAAGCTTGAGAGAACAATAGACGGAGAATTGTAATTAAGTGGAAGATGGCTCAAAACAGATGGTAAGTGCGGTAGGAATTCGGAGAACGGAAATGCACACCAGAACACTCCAATTACCCAGACATTGCAAACTCCGCAGTGTAACTTTTACAGAACAGCACTGAAAACAAGCTCATACAGCAAGAATCAGAGCCGGCCCAGCTTCCATGAGCTGACTCTTCAGCCTCGCTGCTGGCCTGTGCTATTCCCATTCTACGGATGGGAAAACACGAGATGTGTGAACAGACCCCAGTCTGCAGTCAATGTGAGGTAGAGCTGAGATCGGACCAGTGGCAACCTGGCCCTGGAGCTTAGGTTCTCTGTTTTGTTTTGTTTTTTTTTAGACAGGGTCTTGTTATGCAGAGTTGGCTGACCTAAAATTGTCTTTGCAGACCAGGCTAGCCTTGAATTCCTAGTGATCTGCCTGCCTCTGCCTCCGTGTGCTGAGATTAAAGGTGTGCACCATCAGTGCCGGTCCTGTCCTGATTCTCTGGCAGTCAGGATGGCCCGGCCTTCAAAGCAGCCGGTGTCTATCTGTACCTTTTTGATTCTCTGGCAGTCAGGATGGCCCGGCCTTCAAAGCAGCCGGTGTCTATCTGTACCTTTTTGCCCAAGTGCAAACTCCAGATGATGAGAGTCCTCATTCCCTGGCTTTGCAGCATCTGCAGAGAACTTGTGGTCCAGTTTCCGCAGGAACTGCTTCCAGTTCTGTTGTCCCAAGGCTGAGACATTCCAGTGAGAGTTCAGACTAAAACACTGCGTCCTGAGCTCACCACCTGTGGTCCCCATCACCTTTAGTGCCCCTCTGACATATCCTATCCCTGCCTCCATTGGTCACCATCTCCATCCTTGGCCTCGTTTCCACCATCACCATCTCTGCCTCCACCACTCTCATCCCCTTTCTCATCCTCACCTCCAAAACGTGCCAATTAAGGTTCACCCTCCAGAATGCTGCAGCACCAGAAAGGGAAGACAGACCCTCCAAAGCCACACCCCCCCCCCCCCCCGCCACTGTGTCACTGCATCAGTCAATTTCCTATTGCTGAGGTAAAACACCATGACCATGGCAACTCATAAAAGAAAGTATTAATAGAGCTTATGGTTCCAGAGGGGTTGAGTCCATGGTGGCATGGCAGCAGGAACAGAGGAGTGCTCACATCTCAAACCCCAGGCAGGAGGCAGTGAGTACAATGGGGAAGCTGCCGGAGGCTTCTGAAACCTCAAAGCCCACCCCCAGTGACACACCTCCTCCAACAAGGTCACGCCTCCTAATCCTTCCCGAACAGTTCCACTAACTGGAAACCAGGTTTGAATAAACAAAAGTCTATGGGGGCCATTCTTATTCAGCCCACCACAGTCAACTCCGCTGAGGTCACACTGAGGAGAGCAAGGTGGGCAGAACTGGTCAAGCGGTAAATGAGATGGTGACTATCTGGTACTTGACATGCCACGTTAATGACTGCTGTTGCCTCCGCTTCATTTTTGCCATGCTAGTGAAGGAACCTCCTGCATGCTGGCCAAGTGCTCTATTCCAGAGCTGTACACCCGTCCATGCATCGTTAGAAAGAAGGGAGGGAGCTTAAGGTTGGTCGTGGGCTCCAGACCAGAGCACTCAAGGTTCAGAGTCCAGCCACACTGCCTGTCAGCTGTGTGACCTTGGGCAGGCGACTTAAGCTCTCTCTATGTGTTTGCTTATCTGTAAAATGGAGTTAAAGGGGGATTGTGGTGTAGATTCAATAAATAGGACCTGCAAAATATCTTAGAAGTGTGCCCCAAAGTAGCGATGGCTGCCCTTGTTGGCAGCCCTCCCTGCTAGTTTTCTTTGTTTTAGGCTGCTTGTCAGGGACTGGGAGGATCGAGTCTGGCTGCTCTGCCTGTACATAGTTTGGCACGGAGACCATGAAGTTCTTGGTGTTTACACCCTTGACCACAGTAGGCACCCATACCCCGTAGCATCTGAGCACCCCAAATGATGCAAGTTCACACTCATGTGTGCTGGAGCTGTAACAGGCATACCAAATTTCAGAGGCTGAAGTTTTAAAAGAACATTGCAAGATAGCTGGGGAGAGGCACACGCACTCAGGTGCACACACAGAGGCACACACACACAAACTCATGGACACACACACACACACTACCCATGCAATACGCATGTGCACACACACACAAACTCATGGACACACACACACTACCCATGCAATACGCATGGGCACACACACACACACTACCCATGCAATACGCATGGGCACACACACTCATGCACACACACACATGCACACAGTTCCCATCCTCTTCCTTCTCCCATCCCTGTCTTGTTTCTACTCCCCTCTCCCCCACCCCGCTGCTGACTCCAACTCCATCCCTGCTTTCACTTCCCCAGAATGTCTCCATCAAGGTAAAAACCAAGCAAGTTTTCATGTGTCCCGGGCCTGCTGAGATCCAGTCTCCATTCATCCAAAGACAGTCAGCTGAGGAACAGCCATAAAGTTCATGGGACCTCATGGGTAAGAATAGCCCGGTTCAGTGACGGGCTCAGAGTGAGCAGTGTGTGTGGCCGCTTGGCTGTGTCCAGCTGTAATCAGGCAGTGACGAATGGAGAAGAATCTTCAGTGGAGAGCCTGCATCATGCTCCTTCCCACTCCTCTGCTGTGTCCACTGGACAGCGGTGTCCAGAGCTCCCAGCATCTGTTTGGGGGCATCTCTCAGAGACACTGTCTGTGTGTAATCAAACTCTTTGCATTTATGTGTATCGCTCTTAAATTCCCCAGGCCCCACCCCACAACCACCCAGTCAGCCGGCTTTCTGGTTTATTTTTCTCACTTTGTCTTAAGAGGAAAGATCTGCTTCTGGAAGTTTCCTTGGCTAATTCTGGGTGCTACTGTCAGGGCACAGCAGCTTCCAACCAGACACCACCACGCAGCCCAGCTAGCCTGTCACCCTGTCCCACAACCACAGAGGGAGGCAGGAGGGGAAGTTATTTTAGACTCAACAATTCATATTGATGGAGTATGGTGGTGCTCGGTGATCCATTTTATGAAATTAATCCTGAAATATGGCCTGTCTGTATCTTGCAGGCAGAAGTTTGTTTCGGGCTCTGTAACTCACTTCTGAGCTAGTGCAGCCGCTCGCTCAGCTCTGTAAATTATCTCGAGGTCTTTGCGAGGGAACACGGTCAAGAAACACCAGCAACATGGGAAGGGGACCTTCCCCAGGTGTGTCCACTGTGCCCCACCCCATCAGGTCACCCTCCTCAGCCTGAGGTACCCACTTTAGCAAAGGCAGAGCTCCACCCCCAGACTGGGTAGTTACTATCATTGGAGTTTTAGACCAATCAGCTGCCACCCGCCCCCAGCATCAGCTTTCCTGTCTGTGAAATGGACTGAAACTGACTGCATTCTCCAGCACTCCAGCTCCCAGGTTTTTTGAGGGAAGCAGAAGAAAAATGGGCATTCTCTTATGGGAATGTGGAATGCTGAGCTGGCAGAAGGATTGTTTCAGCCTTCTGTAGCCTGTCCTCTGGCCTCTCAGGAACACTATTGTCTTCAGGGAGGGACCCTCCCACCTGCCCCTCAGGTAACGCTCTGTGAAGGTGCTGAGCCTGCTCCAGTCCTGAGAATCATTTATCACAGGGAGGGCATCAATTAGATTTGGGGGAGGGGCGGGAAGAAGGAATGGACAAGTTCAAAATTATATTATTTGCAAAAAAATCCATTCTTCCCCTCAGCATGCCTGCTCTATCGACTGCCTTCAGCTCCTAGCCATTATGCTGTATTTCAAACAGCAGAAAACTAGCCTCTAATATAAGTGTCCATGAATATAAATGTCCCGTGTGGTCCACTTTCATTTCTTTCTTTGATTTCTTGATCTTGTGTCTCTGTTCCTTTCCCATTCTCTCCAGAGTTTCAAGATGGCACTCAGCACAGCGCCTCCTCCAGGAAGGTCTCCCAGCTGCAGCTTCCAGAGCAGCCCAGCACAGACACCCTGTCTCGCTCACCCTGGGCCTCGATGCCTTCCTTACCTGACTCCTCCTCATCTCTCAAGGCTGGCCTCAGGTGTGGCCTCCTCAGACAGCACTCCAAACCTGGCAAGGCCTTTTCTCTGGGTGCCCAGAGCTGGTCCCCCTCAAGCTGCTTGTCACTCTGACGAGGGTTTGCCTCTGTCTCTCAGCTGGACTGTGTGATACCCAGAAGCTCAGATCCCATTCCTGTTTGTGTCTCTTACTTCTATAAGCACAGAGGACACCAGCCAGGCTGTGACAGGGATCCCGGATGACGCTGACAGTGCCCTGGGTCAGTCTGTCTTCATCTCCTGCCTTTTCCATCAGGTACACACTCCGTCGCCATACTCCAAATACCCTGAGCTCCCCCTGTCCCTTCTCCTGTCCCTTCCCTCCTTCTTTCCCCAAGCACCCGGAGAGCAGGACTCCTGTCTCCTCCCAACACACAGGATCACTCAAGAAATGTCTGTACCATGGCAAGTCAGGGAGGGATCCTGGTGCCGCACCCTCCAGCCCCTGTCCCATCTGAGAAGGTGGAAGTCTCCCCCCACTCTCTTTCCCAGTGACCGGTTCCCAGTAGAAGTGGATCTGGACAATGAAGAAAGAGGGGACAGGGAGGGAAAGGCTCAGATTTACAGTTTAGGGAAAAATTGAATACTAAACTGAATAGTCACAGTCCCATGCAGGAGCAAACCCAGGACAAGTCCCTACATGGGGCCATGATCCGAGACTTAGCTGCTGTACCTACATGGGCCATAAATGCAAAGTCATGCCCGTCCCCTATGAACTTGAGCTTAGCCATGGGACCCCTGTGCTGAGGGGGTCTTGTCCCAGGTCATTGCCAGCGTGGACAGCCACTGGTCCTCGGGGCCTTCCCACCCTGAGCCAGAGGCCAGTATCATCTGCTCTCTTGAGCTGCTCTGTGGTGAGCTGCTGGCAGTACCACCCACCTGCTTGCCCCTCCCTCCCTGCCAGCTGTGGCAGGTGATAAACAGCTGAGCTGGAAGCTCTGGCTGAGTGCCTTGGAGAGCAGAGGCTACCCCAGGGGAGTGAAAAAAAAAGGGCACTAATGAGGCCAGTGGGGGAGGGGAAGAAAGCCTGCCCACATTCCAACAGGGTTGGTGCTTCCTGTTGGATCTGGACTGTCACTCCAAAGCTCTTTTGATGTGTGTGTGTGTGTGTGTGTGTGCGCGCGCGCGCGCGCGCGTGCACGCGCGCACGTGCACGTGTGTGTGTGTGTGTGTGTGTGTGTGTAGTGGTATGCATGAGGATGTCAGAGGACAATTTGTGGGAGCTGGTTCTCTTCTTCTACCTGTGAGTCTTGGGGATCGAACTCAGACCATCAGGCTTGGCATCAAGCACCTTTATCTGCAGAGCCATCTCACCAGCCCTCCAGGATGTCTCTAGACTATGTCTTGAACCCACTGGTTCTCAAAATATGTTCCCCTGGACCAGCAGAGGCAGCACCCTCTGGGAGTCAGTCACCATTGTAAGTCCTTGGGCCCCTTCCATACCCAGATATTGGACTTTCAGTTCCTCCAGGTGACTCCAAGGCAAGTTCTAATGTGCCAGTTGCTGCCTTGACCAGGGTAAGCTTCAATGGGTTCACCCCTAAGTTGTCTTGGTACATAATAGATGCTCAGTAGACAGTAGAGATTACTGTTCTCCAGGAGGAGCAGGTTTGAGGGTATGGGAGAATGCCAGCCTGGTCCTCCAAGAGTCCATATACAGGCCTAGGGCCTCCCTAACCCTCTGCACTGATTGGGTCCAGGACCTCACACCTCAAAGCCCCGCCTCCCACAACTGGAGCAATTTTCTAGCTTGCCTGGATTGACTGCTTGTCAATAACCCAAGGTTTTGATTGGCCTTCAAAGCTGTCAGTATCGTGTAGTAGATCCTCCTGTGGTGCTGCATTCTTTGGCCTGAGCCTGGGTGGGTGACTTCCTCCTGAGAGTCTGAGCCATCCCACACTGCTATTGTGTTTTATAGAGCAAATGTATCAAAGACACATAGGTGCAGAGCTGAAATCTATGGGGTGTGTCACAGATTCAGTTTACAACAGCGGGGCTGGCCGATTTAGGGAACTTTTTTAGTACACCCCACAGGTGCGTATTACATGCTTGGGCAGTTTTACCCTGTGCCATATGTGCCAGTGCACTAGAAGCTTCTGGAAGGTTCTGGGAGGCACTGTAAGTGCAGAAGCATACTGAAGAGTCTCCTCCAAGCCCATCGGCAGGAAGTTCCAGGAAGCCCACTCGGGACACCACTGTCCCACTAGCTGAGCCATGTCCCTCCAAGCACACGCAGAGAGCCCCTGTGCTGGTGGCTGGGAACAGGGCTCACCCCTGCCTAGATGAGCAGAGCTCAGGAACCCCAGCTGCAGGGGAGGGGGGCGTGCTGCAGTCTTGGCTAGGAGAGCTGTGTTCCTAGGGAGTTGGTGGGACAAGGGCAACATGAGCATTGTCACATGGGCATTGTCTCTGGGAGCAACTTGAGGGGCAGGAGGTGGAGCTGTGGTCCCTGACTTAGGCTTCCAGCTGGGAGAGCAATTCAGAGTCAGTAGAATGCACACTCAGTGCAAGTTTGGGTTCCAATCTTGCCCAGAGCTAGGAGTCTTGGGGGGTGACTCTCCACACTAGGCCACTACCAGGAGGGAAAGGACGGGCACCCCAGTGTGTGACCTCTCAGTGGGCACTCGTGGACTCTGGCTCTTTTGTTTATTATTGCATTGGAAACAAAGGCACCAGTGGGCGATCAAGGGGCTGAAGGCTGTGGAGGCTCTGACTCCAGTCTCTAGATGACTTCCCCTTCCCTGTCCTCAGTTCCCCATTTAACCAGTGACACGGCAGACAACGGCCGAGGGGTCATGCGCACACCCACATTCCATAGCAGTCAGAAGGTCTCTTGGTTGCCCACCAGTTCATCCCTGTGGACATCCCCAGTCTCCTGGAAAGTACCTGACTCCACACCTGCACCCACACCCCAGCTCAAAGCCTTCCTTCCAGGGCGGGGCGGATTTTCCGGAAGGCCAATATTGAGTCCACTGCCTTTCTTATCCTATGAATATTTTAGGATTGATTTTTAAGTCAGAGGCAAATAAATCATCTGTCTGGCTTGCTGTTCATAATCGTTGTTAAGGAAGAGTTGCAGGAAGAGTATCCAGTGGGAAGGGACTCACACATTTCCTCCCTGGTGGTTCATAATAAAGTTCAGTCAGGGCTGGGGAGCTCAGTGGTTAAAGTGGTTGCCACATCTCTCTCTCTCTCTCTCTCTCTCTCTCTCTCTCTCTCTCTCTCTCTCTCTCTCTCTGTGTGTGTGTGTGTGTGTGTGTGTGTGTGTGTGCACGCGTCTTGCCTGTAAGTCCAGCCTCAGAAGGCAGAGATAGAGGATCCCCAGTGCAAGCTGCTGGCGAGACTTGCTGTGTCTATCAGTGAGCTCTGGGTTTGACTGAGAGCCCCTGCCTCAGTGAATGAGGTAGAAGCGCATTTGAGGATGACTCCTGACATCAACCAGGGGCCTCCACGTGCACATGCACACATATGTGTGCCGGCACACATGCAAATATGCACATACATGTGCATGCCACACACACAGTGGAAAATGGGGAAAAAGCTATTGACCCATGCATATTCAAGTGCCTGTCACTCAGCTTCAAGCCTGAATATTGCTGACTGCCCCCATTACTGACTCTCCCTTGGATCGGTGGAAGAGCTGAGTGAAGCTTTATTCTAGAAGGTGCCCAACTGCAGGCCAGGAGGAGGGGCGTGGCTGGAGCTCCAGAGGTTCAGGGTCTGTAGCTCCTCCTCATCATAGCCTTCCAGGTCCTTCTAATCCTTTCAAACAATGCCACTCTTAAGTGACTAAGAATTTAAATATGTGAGCCTATTCTTACTCAAACTGCCACAAGCAGGGGACACCCTGTATGCTGCAGCATAGGGAGGGAGCATGCTCAGTACTGGGTCTCCAGCCACCTGATTCACCTCTGACCTAGGAATCTGGTTACTCAAAATCACATCTTGACTCTGACATTCAGTAGTTAGGTGATACCGGCTTGTCACTTATCCTTGCTGAGCCTTGGTTTCCTCATTTGTAGAATGGGACCATCATAGTGTGGGCTTTATAGGGTTCTGCTGAACACTATATAAAGTATTGAGACACTTGCCTGGCACCTGCTGAGTGCATTCCTGGTACCACTGCCATCTCCCCATTTTGCAGCTTAGAGGGGTGTTGCCTGAATTTGAAGTAGCTCCCCCATAGACTCATATATTTGAATTCTTAGTCACCAGGGAGTGGGACAATTTGAAAAGATTAGAAGAATCAGGAGGTGTGGCCTTATTAGAAGTATGTCCCTGGGGATGGGGTTTCAAAAGACCATGCCAGACCCAGAGTCTCTCCCTCTGCCTACAGATCATAATGTAGTTCTCAGCTACTACTCCAGTGCCTGCCTGCAGGCCGCCATGCTCCCCACCAGGATGATAAGGGACTAAACTTTTGAAACTGTAAGTGAGGCCCAATTAAGAGCTACCGCGGTCATGGCATCTCCTCCCAGCAAAAGAACAATGACTAAGACACTGCTTGAAGGATGTACACCACCCTTCCCTTCCTGCATCCGGTACCATAGGATGCTTCCAGCAGCTAGAGCCAGCACCGTCCAGGAAGAGACTCCTGCCTGGGATGCCCTCATCCCTCAGCTTGTACCCTTGTCTTTCCCCACCTCTCTGTTCCCAGTCTTTCAGGAAACTGTGTTCCTGCCGGCTCCCCACCAATCACAGACTCCTTGAGGAAGAAACTGGGTCTTCCAACCCTGGGACTTGGAGGTCAGGCACTGCATGCACACAGCAGCCTGAGGAACCGTTGGGCCTCAGTTTCCTTTTCTGTAAAGTGGGAATAATCTTACTTGTCTCCTCACATTAACCGCTTCGAGAACCTCCCTGAAGAACTCTGCCCAGTGCCTGGCTCATCATGAGCCTGTCAGCCAAGGCTTTAATGACTGAGGATGGACACGGGAATCATGCTTCCTCCTATACAGACAGGGAAAGCAAGTCTGGGAACCCACTGTGGCCAGATCAGCAGTCAGGACTACGAGCCCCAGGGCAGCACATGCAGCATGATCTCAGTTTCGGCTTCCCCTTCACACACACAGGGCCAGGACTGTGTTTCCCCAGCCCGCCTCCCTTCTGCACCACGGTTGGCTCCCACACTGCGGCCTAGCTCACACTGCTGGCCTCACTCTGCTCGGGCTCCTCAGGCGGCTACCGGAACACCGAACCTCAGCTTTCTGCTCTCTTTACAACCCTGGGCCTGAGGCACTGCAGCTCCAGCATCACATATCACTGGTAATTAAGGGTCCTGTCCCAGGGAGGGGCGTTTACCTTCTGCCAGAGACACTAAATCCTACTCCCGGTGGTGTGGGGGAATAAAGCATCGCGCTGACCTAACACTTGTCAGGGTTTAACGGTGCTCCTGCAGATAGGCTCAGGTGGGAATGGGGGGAGGGGGGCAGAGCAGATGTGCCTCTGCAAGCAGGCAGACTCTATGGGTGGCAAAATGTGGCAGGTCCAGAAGGCTGGGGGGACTTGGATGCTGCAGCCACTTGTCTGGACAGCTCAAGGGAGATGAGCTTCTTTTGCCCCCGGCCTCCCCCAAGGCAGGGTGGGCGTGTCAGTGAGAGGCCATACAGAAGCTTCTGGAACGAGGCTATTGGGCTTCCATGATGGCTCTGCCACTGACTCACTGTGTGACCTTGGTCATGATATATGATCTTTCTGGGCCTCAGCTTCCTCATTGACTAAAGTGTGGAAGGCTGTGTCCCAAGGGTTGTGAATTTCATTTAAAGTGCTTGGGGCCAAGTCTGCCACTGAAAACCACACTTACTTGGCTGCTCTCTATTGACCCAATGAGCTCTTCGTAGGGGGTGTGGTAGCTTGAATGTAAGCTTATAGGGAGTGGCACTATTAGGAGGTGTGGCTCTGTTGGAGTAGGTGTGGCCTTGTTGGAGGAAGTGTGTCACTGTGGGGGCGGGCTTTGAGGTCTCCTATGCCCAGTATCTCAGTTCACTTCCTGTTGCCTGCATATCAGGATGTAAAACTCTCAGCTCTTTCTCCAACATCATGTCTGCCTGCACACCGCCACGCCCCACCATGATGATAATGGACTGAACCTCTGAACTGTTGTAAGCCATACCAATGAGATGTTTTCCTTTATAGGAGTTACTGTGTTCATGGTGAATCCTTACAGCAATAGAAACCCTAACTAAGACAGGGGGTGCTTGTAAAGGTGGTTTGAATTAAAAAGAGCTTGTGAGATTAGAGCTTGAATTAAAGGGAGAGCTTGTGAGCTTCCCCTTGGGCCCTGAGTTCCCTGGGAGGGAGAGGGTGGCCACGAGCTCTGTGGTTCTGAGGGGGGACGGCTACACTCACAGAGGTGTATGCTATTTGACCAAGCTGTCTTCTCTCCCACTCACAATCACGGAGGCAGTTAATGTAAACCACACTCAGTGTGGGCTTCGTCTCCATCTCCAGCTTAAGCCTTAAGTCCCCTGTAGAGAAAGAACAGCAAGAGGGTGACTGAGGGCCAGCTCGGTACGCTGAACTGACTCAGTTCCCTCTGGACTCCCACCTGTTGATTCCCAGGCTGTTGGAGTACTGACAGTATGCCTGGGCATCTCATGCTGTCCATGCTGAGAAAAGGCTTGGTGTCTGGTGGGGGCGACTTTTCATCCAGTGGCCATCTGGCTGTCTTGCTGCCTCTGGCTGAATATCTTTTGTCCCACTTCCCTTGAAAGGGGCTCAGCGGGATGAGCAGGATGGCTGACTGAATGAATGTGTTGGGTCTGTGTGAGGCACACATTGTGCTGCTGTCAAGGGCACCCCAACTTGGCAGAGCTGTGTTCAGAGAGGGTGGGTAGGGATTCGAGGATTCTGTGCTGGAGGAAGACAGCAGGCTCAGACCTTGGGGGCTGAAGCCGGGAAGTGACTGCCCTTGCTAGATGACTTGGTTCACTCTCAAGTGCTCCTCTGAGCTCAGATCCATCTGTCTGCCTGTTCCACACTGGCACTCAGTTGGTGGCTTTGGCAACTGAGAGGCTGGTGGGCGGGCACGTGGGTGGAGGGGACATCAGTCCTTCGCCACACCCCCAGCTGGTTCCAGGCACTCAAGACAACAGTGGCGTGCTCTAGACACGCTTGTACCCAGCTTGGAGGGCCTTGGTTGGCCTATCGTGCCTGAGTACTCTGGACCTTCATGGCAGCCAGCCCAGCCACTATCTCAGGCCCTGCACTGCCCATCTAGCTTGCTATCTTGGAAGATCTATCCGGTCGACAGGAAGTAGGCCTGGGGAGATGCCAGGGGCCTTCAGTCTCCATTCCATATCTCTGAAGCTGAGGGCACTGACTGAGGTCTCACAGCTGTCCCGGTGCCTTCTCAGATGAACATCTCAGCACTGTGCTGGGTCTTGCTACACATTGCATGCCTGTCCTCTCTCTCAGTTGATTCCCATGCCTGAGGACTGCTGTGAAGAATGATCCGTCATGGCCAGATGCTATACTTACTGACCAGTCCTGGGGCTGGCTTGTGTGGTCTCAGCCTTTCTCTGCCCCACCACAAAGGCAGTGTGTGGTGTGTGAGCCCAGCACTTCCTGTCCAAGCAGGTCCAGCGCTTCCTGTCCACTCATGGGCACCATTGTCTGTGCCTTGCAGCAGGCCCGTGGGAGAGGAGACCCATTTCCTGGGAGGAAGACCCACCGGAGAGGAAGTAACAGGAAGGAGTGGGTCTGGGCAGGGTGCTGGCTCTATGCTCCCATCTCTTGGCAGCCATCATAGTGTAACACCCTGGGAGGGGACAGAATTGCCACCATCCTGTTGACAGATCCGCCCCTGGCTGTTTCCATTGCTTGCAGCTGTTCCCTGGGCCCAGCCCCTGCTGAGGCTGATGCTAATAGGGAGAGTGTTGGCCAAAGGGCAGGGAAGGAGAACAGCCTTCACTGTGAGCCTGGGCCACAGGGCTCTATGTATTTGACAGTCGCATGCCCCAACAGGGGAGATGCTGCTGCAACCCCCAGTTAGCAGAAAGGAAGACTGAGGCCCAAGGAAATGAAGTGATATTCCAGGCTATGCTCCCTGTGCTCCATATGCTCTACTGTATGTTATTATGTTGTCTCTGAATTGTTTAATTGCTGAGGAAGGAGCAAGAGGGAGAGATGCCATGTACCGGAAGAAGGAGTAATAGGTCCAGACCCTTCTCCAGTAAGCTAAGACCACATGGAAATACATAGATTGGTTGTTATGGGTTAATAATTAAGACAGAGGTAGCCAATAAGAAGTCCTAGACATTGGCCAACAGTTTAATACTTAATATGTCTGTGTGCTTATTTGGGGTTGAAGCATTGGCAGGACGAGGCTGGAAAGAAAAACTCCAGTTACACCCTACAGTGGGCAGAAGTGGGGCTCGGTGATGAGGCAGGAGAATAGACAATAGCGGAGGAGGAAGTGCCAGAAATCAACAGGAAAGGTAGTAGAGAAAATACTCAACCCTCCCTCTACTGGGGCTGTGTCAGCCAAGGGAGCACGCTCAGAAAGCCCGTGTCTATATGAACTTGGGAGAAGTGAGTACTGTGTCAATGCCCATCAAAGTCACCAGATGAGGGGATCACAGACCCTGGCTGGAAACCCACCCCTCCATCAGCCTGGGAGCAGGCAGCTGCGAGACAATGTTTACTGAAAACACGTTTACTGAAAACAATTCAGTGCCATAGGCTCCTGATAAGAAACACCATGACTTTGATCTTCCTGATGGCTAGCTACTCCCTGCTGTTCCAGATTCTGGTGCCAGAGATTTAACCACCAGCCAGGAGGGAGGAGAGGAGTGTGAGAGGGCTGTTGGAGATTTGTGCATGTATGGATGGCAGAAGCTTTTTCTGAAGGGAAGCACTTTTCTTGGGAAGTTCTCCTAAGCCGATTTGGGGGAGCATAAAGTTTCCTTTTCACAACCGACTGGTCTCTGTGTCATCTATCCGACCACCTCGCCACATTCTCGGATACAGGCTGTGCAGGAGGCGCGGCAACCAGGGACCTTATTTCGCCCCTTTCTTGCTCTCTTGGAGCCGGGTCACAGGTGCAGTATGACAGCCCCAAGCCCCTTTGTGTCACCCCCTTAATGAACTTTCCCCTTTGCTGTCTATACAGTTCTGCATAAGACAAGAACTCAGTTTGCACCCTCCAAACTCAGCCCCCATCCACATGCCTCCACAGGAAGCCAGCCCACTGCCCGGGCTTCCACACTAGCGGGTCCAGCGGTTCTCAACCTCCCTAATGCTGCAACCCTCTAATATATTCCTCATGTTGTGGTGACCCCAACCATAAAAATTATTTCATTGCTACCTTGAAACTGCAATTCTGCTACTGCTATGAATCGCAATGTAAATATCTGATATACGGGATATGTGACCCCTGTGAAAAGGTTGTCCCACCTCCCCAGGGGTTGTGACCCACAGGTTGAGAAATGCTATCCTGCCCTACCCAGACTTGTATCCCTGGGTACATCTCCTTCCACTTGGTTTTCCATTTGTGAACCAGGAAAACAAACAATAGATCTCACTCTTAGAGCTGTTACCCAAGATCCAGCTGGTGCGGAGCCATGCCTGGTGGCTGATAAACACTCAGTAAATAGCATCAGGGGTAGGTAGAAAATGTATACCCAAACACAAAGCCCTCTGTGCCTCTCATCATAAGTGTGTCAGCCCCTACTATGGTGGGCCTAATATAGTTGAAGGCATTGATTACCCAGACATCTCCTTCTGTAGCTTGCGGGACCATAAACATTGGTTTGCCTACCCCAGAGTAGTAGAAAGGGGGCCAGTGGGACAGTGGAGAGGTCACAGATCTGACTTTGCCAGGGCTTCTGGTTGGACCAGGACTCTGGGGGCCTCTGAGGCAGGAGGTAGGAGTTGGGGTTCACAGCCTGGCATCCCAGTGCCTCTTGGTTCTGAGTTATCTCCAGTTCTCTGTAGTTCTGGTCTGGATCTCAGCTGGTCACATCACCCAGTCTTGGCTCCTTGGGTCTATATTTTAGAGGTTGCCTAGGGCTGGTTTACTGTGATTAATGTGTGCTCAGTGGGGGGCTCATCCCCTCAGGCTTCCAGACAGGGGCTGGAGAGCTGATCATTTTCCTCCCAGCAGGCTTCCTGGGGTGTATGGTCCTGCAGCTGTGAGTCCTGCCTCTCAGCATCCTCTGCCAGGACTTCAGAGCATTGCCATGTTCCACCCACTGGTGGACTGTGTCCCCAGACTCCTAACTCCCTCTCCCACAGGCTCATATATTTGAATGCTAGCTTTCCCACTTGGTGGAACTGCTTGGGAAGGATTAGGAGGTGTGGCATTGTTACAGGAGGTGTGTCACTGGGGGTGGCTTTGAGGTTTCAAAGGTGCCATTCCTAGTGTC